TTTCCCTGCACTAATTCTCCATACAGGAGATTTTTTGGAATCTGACCATCAGCCATTCTCACGACATTGTTTGATATTTCATTGTTGAAATGTGGTGAGAATGGCTGCATTAATAGAAGTACAGTTTCCAAATCCCACAAGGTGCTAGTTCCCCTCTATTCAGCACTGATTAGCCTTAACTTGAGTATAGTGTCCAGTTCTGGACACCACAATTGAAGAAGGATGCTAACAAACTGGGACAAGTTCAGAGGAGTGTGACAAAGAGGGGGCTAGAAACCAAGCCCTATGAGGAAAGGCTGAAAGAACTGGGCATGTTTAGCCTTGAGAAAATAACACTGAGGGGTGATAAGATGGTACTTTTCACATATTTGACAGGCTGTCCTACAGAGGAGGGGCAGGATCTGTTCTTGATCATCCCAGAGTGCAGCACACTTGACAATGGGTTCAAGTTAAAGGAAGCCAGATTTCGCTTGAATATCAGGTAAAACTTCCTAACTGTTAGAGCAGTGTGCCAGTGGAACCAGTTACCTCAGGAGTTGGTGAGTGTCTTAGCACTGGAGGCATTCAAGAAAAATTTAGGTAAGCTCCTGGAAGGTATGCTTTGATTGTATTCCTGTGTTGAGCAGGGGGTTGTATTTGATGGCCTTGTAGGCCCCTTCTAACAGCACTTTTCTGTGATTCTATGATTCTATTATTTGTGCATCTCCCTCCCCCTTCCAATTCAGTTTCTTGTATTCGATGGCCTTGTAGGCCCCTTCCAAAGTCACATTTCTGTGATTCTATGATTCTATTATTCGTGCATCTCCCTCACCCTTCCAATTCAGTTTAAAGCCCTCCTGATGAAGTTCTTCATGCTGTGGTCAAACAGAATCTTCCCAGTCCTTGTTAGGTGCAAGCCATCTCTTGCTAGCTGTCCTTCTTCCAGGTCGCTTAGCGTGTGGTCCCAAAAACCAAAACCCACATCAACACCACATTCATAGCCAGTCATTTACTTGGAGTATTCCCACTTTCCCTTTCTTTTCCTCTACATAGTACTGTAGGATGGATGGAAAAACTATATGGGTGGTTTTCCCATCTCTGGTATCTCTTAGTGTGATATCTGCTGAAGTGTATTGATAGCTTTATTTAAATTGTCCCCAACGTTAGGTCCTCAGAACTTCTTGGACTACAATTCCCAGAAATCTTGGTCAGCACAGCTAGTGGGAAAGGCTTCTGGGAGTTTTTTTCCAAGACCATCAGGGGACCCAAGGTTGGGAAGTCCTACTCAGACGTGACAACTCATGCCATAGCTTTAATGATCTGGTTTACATAGACGAAAACCAACCTAAACTGAGTCTTTTGCCATTTAATTTAAAGGTATAATGCAGAGATGGGGATTTCAGTGGTTTGGAAATAGTGCGACATGACAATGAAATATCAAACAATATTATTGGCTGCATTCAAGAACAGCTTGAAGCTTGCCCAGACAACTTCAGGTGGGAATCCCTAAGGATTTCCATTTTCACCTCCTTTTACTCTCATGAGTTTCTTAGTGATTCTAAGTCCACCCACAACTGTTGCCTCACAAAACAGTCGGGTAGTGATGGAATACAATGTCAATATGTTGACTAACCTAGTAGTGATCCTCAGAGACTAATCCTTCCACAGGCAATTACCTCCATTCCAATTACAATTAAATAATTTTTCATGGCAATTTCGACCAGCTTTTCCAAATGTAGTATTTCACCACAGATCTCAAGTGGCTTATCTACAAGAAATGAGTCAACATGGGAATAGCTGACCAAGATTACATCAACAGGCTTCACCCTTTTTGTTTATTTGCCCGAAGGCAGGTCATGTATGGTGCTCATCAGCTTTTTCCCCCCTTCCCAGGTGATCATGTTGTGCATCTCATTTCATTCTTCCCAACTCCCATGTGGACAAACAGTGCATATAGAAACCTGTGGCTTCATTCTGATACTCCAGACATCAGAGGGAATAAGTTATGTCTGTTGAAACTCAACTGAGCATGATAAGATAGCATCTGTTGAAACTCATGTAAGATGGAACATATTCATCTTCAACATGCCCCAAGATGCTCTATTGTTTTCACTTGCATTGACCCACACAGCAACCTCCGTGGAAAATCTTCCTTGACGACATGGTAATTACAGCCCATATGTCTCCGTTGCTATTCACAGCATGCTTTTCTAACCAGGTAGCTGTGAGACTTAACATGTCAATACTATTTGCTTTACAGTTCACTTTGATGAAGACCACCAACATCTAACAGGCTTTGCTCAGAATCTCCTTAAACTCTGTCCTGATGAAGACCATCTGATTTAGGGAGACTTTATTCCAAGTGGAAAGGGATGCTGGAAGTTTTGCTGCTTTTATCTCTTCCCATGCATATATTTGATGCCACAAGATGCTCCGGGAATCATCCCGTCCAAATTCATCATGAGTGGTATCAGCCAGGTGACATCCTCGTTGGTGGGATCACGTCTCAGATGTTTTATTTTTCAGACGAAATGACCTTCAAGAAAGCCCCTCATTTAGAGGAGATAGTCACTGAAGATCTGATGTAAGGAAATGCTTTTCTTCTCTTCCTTTGACATGCAAGCTTTGAAACATCAGAATATGAATTAAGAAACATAATTCGACTCAAGGTACCTGTGGTGTAGGTGAACATTAGTGCTAAAGTTTAGTTCAGTCTGCTTTGCAAAATCTTGAGAAAGGCAATGGAGTTTAAGAAGATTAATGAAGATTAAAGTCTGTTGTTGCTGCTCTTCCTCTTTCCTCTTGAGACTTTATGAGTTCACAAAGTTATTGTTTTAGGAGTAACTTGTCTTATGAAGTGTCCTGGTCAGAGAAGGTGTCCCTTGTGTTTGGCTTCAAAGTCCCCTGCTTCCACTAAAGGGAGGTATTGTCTGTTATTCATCATTGGTCCCTGACAGCTTTTCAAAGCTTGTAGAGAGAAGAGTTGGTTCCTAGAAGGTGCCAATCTGTTGGCTTTGTTCATATATCGGGCAGAGAGAACATGCTGCTGTGCCCAGGATCATACCCCTGTGGTAATCATGCCAGATACTTGTAGGAAACCCAGGTATCACAAAAGTGGGTGATTGCTTTCTTTTGCATTGAGTATCTAATGTCTCCTTGAAGACCAACCAACCTATTTTCATCACTCTGGTGGCTTGGTTTGTTCTTCAGCATTATTAAACTTCAGATCTGGGAGTTCTCTCTGGCAAAGACAAAGTCCATACAAAAATTGAACATTCGGATAGCATTTCACAAGTCTAAGCTGCAGTAACAGGGAAGGGTTCAACTTCACTTTCCCAAGGAAGGTGTGATGGACACTAACTGTAGAACTGCTAGACAGGTCAGTAGTTTAGGTATCTGGCTCCAGGGCCAGAGGTTGGTTGAGAGTTCGATTCTCCACTGTGCCTCCTTGGCAGGGGCTGGATTCAATAATCTATAGTGTCCCTTCCAGCTCTGGAATTCTAAGACTATATTATATTATATTATATTATATTATATTATATTATATTATATTATATGAAACTTATGCCATCCACATCTTGTGGAAAGAATCACAAGGTGAAAGAGAAATAATACTTTAGCAATGACTTTCACTGGATAGAAAACTGAATGGAAAGAATGAAAGGTGGAGTTGGAGGAGAAAAAAATCACGGGATGAAAAGTACAGAAAGTATGGCATGGTATTTGGAAGGGAGCTGAAGAATTTCCTCAGAACTGTGGAAGTGATGGGAGGTAGAATATGGAGAGAAGAAGATGTCGCAGGACAAGTAACGGGGATGGATAGAATGGGGACGGATTGAAGAAGAGGAGCAGTGTGGACCAGCCATCTGGTGTAGCAAAAGAAAAGAAGAAGAAAAAAACTGAAGAAATTCGGAAAAAGAAAGAAAAAAGGTAGAAAGATAGGTAGAGAAATTAGAAAGACCAGCTTACTGCTGAAGGTGGACGCTAAGTTTACACCAGAGAGAAGGGTATGGAACTGTGTGATTCTAAAAGTCTGCTTTAAGAGAGGATATTTTACTGATTTGAAGGGACGTGGTGGCGCTGCGGGCTAAACCGCAGAAGCCTGTGCTGCAGGGTCAGAAGACCAAGCAGTC